CCTCACCCCTCTGTCCCCACCACCACCTCCTCAGGTCCTTGCAGTCATGAAGCTGCTTTTTGGTCACATTAGTTCAGATGTAAGCCTTTCTCTCAACCCTTCTGCCCGCCCTTTCCAGATTATAAGATACCCTGTACATTTTTCTGTATTGTCTTGTTTATTGTTGGTCCCTGTCAGTGGTGTGCTGGTGAATGTGCAACAACCAGCTCTCCAGGAATTAAAAGAAGCTCTGCTTGCAGGGTTTGTCCATTTCCATGGTATAAACACTCGCGCCCTGGCCATTCCACACTGCCTGCTTGGCTTTGTTGAGTGCAGAGTGGGTGAGAGGCGGGTCATCTGTTCTTGTGAATTGGTAAGAGCTGGCTCCAGCACACCAGAGATTATGGCTTATTTTTTTTGTTGTTTTTTGTGGGGTTTTTTGGTACCAGTGATCAAACTCAGGACCTTGCACTTGGGAGGCAGGCGTGGTGCCGCTGAGCTAAATCCCCAGCCCAATTATGGCTTATTGCATTCACTCATGTTTTCTCGGCACTTTGAAGAGATTCATGAATGAACAAATAGATTAATTAACTCAATCATGGACAAATATTCAATTGACCACATGCTGAGTACCACACTGGATATTTAGGCTAGAGTGCTAAGCAAGACAAATACTCATGAGAACATGACTGCCTTCATGTGGCAGGGGCACTAGACATGAAATAATCAGTTGCAAATTAGCATTAAATTATAATTGAGGTAAGCACTACATAAGGAAACTATGAAGAAGAACTTGGGCCTTTGTGATAGGCAAGAGTCCCCTGAGAAAGTATTCTTTAAGCTGAATCCTTAAAGGGTATGTAAGAGTTAGATAGGTGAAAAGAAGGCAAGGCAGGAGCATGAGTATTGTAGTTAGAAGAAATGACATGTGAAAAGGTCTTGGGGCAGAAGAAAGCTTGTTTTGGACAACAGGAAGCGTAGATGGAACAGAGAAAACAAGGAGGCATGAGATAAGACTGGAGAGGTGACAGGACGGATCATGCATCACTCTGACTGATACACTAGAAGTTTTGGGGGGTTTTTTTGTACCGGGGATCAAACTCAGGACCTTCCACTTATGAGGCAGGCAGCAGAACCACTGAGCTAAATCCCCAGCCCAACACTAGAAGTTTTCAACTTCATCCTAGAGCAGTAGGAAGGCATTACATGTTTTACTCTTGCTTCTGGGGAACCTTGGGCTGGGAGAGTTGCCAGAAGAAAAGCTCAGAGGTTGTATTATTCAGCATTCTTATTGGTGATACAAAATACCTAACACTTGCAACTTAAGGAGAGAGAGGTTTAATATGGCTCAGGGTTTCAGAGGGTCCAGTCCATGTTAATTTGCCTCCAAGGCAGAAACATCATGGCAGAAGAGTATGGTAGAACAAAACTGCTCAGTTCACTGTGGCCAGGAATCAGAGAACTGGAGAAGAGAGCCAGAGAGAAATGGACCAGGGACCAGTTATAGACCCCAAGGTCATGCCTCTAGGAGCTACCCAGACCCACCCACAAGTGTGCTTTACTGATCACCAAAGTTCTCAGGTCAATCAAGTTGACAATCCAGCTTCAATGTCACAGAAGTTACCATGGCAGTCTAGTCAAGAGATGATGACTCCAGGTTGGCAGGGAGATGAAGAGAAGCAGGCCAACAGGACCTGAGAACTGATTGGGTCTGAGGAGTACAGGAGAGGGGGAAAGCCTGTGACTTCCAAGTTTCTCTTGCCATCTTTCACCCCACAGCAAAAACTTAGGTACTCAAAATATTTATCTGTGCTAAAAGGAGAGTAAAGAATATTTCAGGCTCTTCACCAGTGGCCCCATTTCCACCTAGGAACATTCATTCATGAAGCAGTGCCCCAGGCTGGCCCGGAAGGAGGCTGTCTAGGCAAAACAACTGTGTCAGCTAAGCAGCTATTATGGACGTCCCTCGAGCAGCACCAAGACTAGGATTGATGGTCTCCGTGACTTAGTCCTTCCAGTACAAGGGACCATGAGTGAGTGCTGGAGGGCGCTGTGCCTGTAGTGCCCTAGGAGCCTTATGCCCAGTGAGCTTGGAGAGGTGACGTTTAACTGAAATCGAGAGCCATGCTGGGGTCACCTGGCAGAGGAGGTGGAAGGCTGTCCCAGGGTAACAGGAACTCTGAAGACAGTCTCTCCCATCCCCCCAGCTGGTTTTATCACCCTTCAGTGAAATCTTTCCAGGCTCTGAGAAAAAAGTGCTGTTTTTCAATAGCAGCAGGAATCGTCCAAAAAAAACATCTGTTCTTGTTTCAAATGGAAGCGGCCACTGCCAGGAAAACAGCAACGTTGTTTTGTCAGAGCCCAATCTGTATTTATTCTTTTGTCCTTATTTAATTAGATTAATCCCTCAATGGCTTCCCTTGGGTCGGTACAAGTCACTCTCAGCCATAAATCCCATCGTTCTAAAAACAGTATGAAAGGGCTGTCTGCCCAGAGCCAACTGGCCAGCGTGCTGGCCAGCTCTTCCCTCTGCTCGCACCCTGTGTGCATCTGTGGTTCTCTCAGCCGCTGGAGAGGGGACAGCGCTCACTCTGAGGTTTGTTTGGAAGAAGAGACTGAGCCTGGGGTCTCAGGTCATCCAGGGGAGACCAGCCTGTCTGGTGTAATGGGGTGCGACTTTTAAATGGTCTCCCACAGCTTCTCTGGAAAGCCAAGGCTGGGTGCTGCTGCTCCTGTGTGGGGGACCTTGCAGTTATTCCTCAGGCTCTACCCGGATGTCCCAACCTATCCAGAAAGGAAGGAGCATTTCCTTGCCTCTTGCTCTGCCTACTTCATAGGGGGAGGTTTTTTGCGGGGGGAAATGTTGCTTCAAGATCTTGGTTCATTCTAGTTGGTTTTATTTTTTGGTTTTGCTCCTGGGGATTAAACCAGGGCCTTTTATGCTGAGCTAAATCCCTAATCCTTTTTACAATTTTAAAATTTTGAGACAAGGTCTCACTAAGTCTCCCAGGCTAGGCTCAAGCTTGTGATCCTCCTGCCTCAGCCTCTCAGAGTGCTGGAAATACAGGCATGTGCCATGCATTCTACTTTCATAAGGAGTTTTTGGTTGGTTATTATGAGAGCCAACAGTTAGGAAAGAAGAAGAATCACCTGTGTTTCCCCCTTCTTGGTCACCAAGGTTAGGCAGGGCTGCTGACCCTGGAGTGAATATCCTATGGATAAATATTTCTTATATCTCTCGCCTAGGCTTGTAACTTCTGGTGGGTTTTATCATTCCTTCATTATTTCCTATAATTTTTGCACCAGATGGTTTCCATCTAAACCCACAAGAAACCAACATTGAAAATCCCAGTTGAAGTTCCCAAATGGAAATCTAGGATATAAGCCTGCTAGTAAGAAGCAAAGAAATTTGAGTCTACAATTTTTTCCATGTACTTTATTGATTTGAGAGTGAAAATACTCTTTTTAGGATTTTTACAGAATCTTTACTTGTAGAATCTTAAACCTAACTTTTTTTTTTTTTGTACCCAGCATCAAACTCAGGACCTTGTGCTTTTGAGGCAGGCGCTGGAACCACTGAGCTAAATCCCTGCCCCAAACCTAACATTTTTAAATGTGATGAGGTAGATTTTATTTTAAAAAATGATTTAAAGTATGTAATGGCACTGAACCAAATCAGCTTTTATGTTCTTATCAATTTGATATCTTTATCTAAAAGTACAGTAAACTGTGAAACTCAGAGATCTAGGGGGTCATATGCAATATAACCATTGGAGTAAAGAGGCCATCAAGCTTTCTAGCTAGCCAAGATTTTATCACACCTCTAGGAATGAAAGCTTTTAGCCAGAGATGATGCTCTTTAATCCTTTGCTCTGAGCTGGTTTTCTACAGTTGTAACAGTGAGATCTCGGTGTAGCCAGCTGCTGCATAGCACCGAACCATCCCCTTGCTGGGAAGCTGTCATCTTGTCTGTCCAGGAGAGACTGAGTCAGGGGTGCACCCTACCCACTTTGTCCTCTGATAGATTCTTACTTGTTGGCGGTCGATGCAGGCCTGTGTATGTGTGTGTGTGTTCCTACGTTGCATGTGAATTAATAGCCAGGGCTCAGCACTTTGTGCATGTATAATAAATACTTGACCAAAATAAGACTACGAGTAGCCATACATCCATTTTTCCCTTATTCTCTTACTTCTGCCTCCCCTGTTTTGGCTTCTCTGTTTTCCTCATTTGTTACTGGGATGAATGAACAGAGCATGAAGATTTTCAAAGATCTTCCTGTAGATAAATGGGATGAGGAAAGTTGATGGGAACTTGGCCGTTAGGGGCTGTTTGCAGACTTACCACGTTTTCAGTGGAGTAGGAAGTCCTTTCACTACACCCTCCTGCATGCGGCGACCCCATCCGCACAATGTCAGAGGCAGTGCCAAATCAGTTTGGTGCACATCACTGAGACTGTGGTTACGGAGCATGTTCAGTCCCCAGAGGACTGAAGCAGGGCTTGATATGAACAAGTCCAAGTAGCTTCTGAGCACCTTTCACTGACATAGGAAATCACAAATTGATAGTAATTAAAACTTAATGTATTTCATAGAGGTGAGAAATAATTCTAGCTTTAAAAACTATGTTTTTATAAAGAGAAACTCACCAAAATGTTAACAGTGGTTGCCTCTGGGTGGTAGGATGTCAGGGCATTTCCTTTGATTTGTTCTTGTTTTTGAGACAGTCTTGCTATATAGTTCAGCCTGGCCTTGAACTCACTATGTAACCCAGGGTGGCCTGGAACTTGCAGCAGTCCTCCTGCCTCAGCCTCTCAAGCGCTGGAATATAGGCGTGAGCCACCGTGCCCAGATTCCACTTGATGTGGTTTTATTTTCCAAGTTTTCTACTCTGATTAACTTTTAGTACTTGTAGTATTTTAGAAAGTTACTTTCAGCAAAGCTGTGGAGTTATTCGTCCAGTCACCCTGGGTTGGGGTACTTCTCCTCCATAGCTGTGTTCTCATGGTGCCCCTTTGCCTCAGTCCAGGACCTGTGTGCCGTGGAGGACCACGCCTGTGAGCAGCTCTGTGTGAATGTGCCCGGCTCCTTTGTCTGCCAGTGCTACAGTGGGTACTCGCTGGCCGAGGACGGGAAGAGGTGCGTGGGTGAGTATCCTCCTGCAGGCTTCTGGGGCAGAGAGCCAAGCTGGGAAGGCGGGAGGGGAGGCTCCACATGAACCTCCCACACATCCAGCTATTCTCCTCTGGGTTTCAAAAAAAACCACTCAGTTCCTTGGTCTCATTAAGCAGTGTTTGAATTCTAAAGATTTCATTTGTGGCTAAGGTCAGTATTTGTTCACTCAGATCCTCAGCAAAAGGCCTATTTATGATAATCTTATGTGAATAGAGTCATCTATTACTGTATTGCCTGAAAAGGACTGAGTGGATTTTGTTCACATTTTGGTGGCCTGACTTAAATACAGCCTGTGTGTTGAACATGAAATGCATTTGGCAGTGGGCAGGGGAGCTGGGTGGCACCTCAGAGACATTGCCACCTTCCTCCTGCCTATTGGACCTGCTGGTCAGCGAGAGGCGCAAGTGACCACCCCATGTGAGAGCCTATCAGTCTGCATCAAGACAGTGCAGTCGGAGAAAACTGTGGCCTCAGCCAAGCCCAAGCCCTCGGCGCAAGGGCAAGATGCTGTGAACTTGCAGGCGGCTGAGCTCCATCCCACTCGGGCGACTCCGCACTGAGCGGTCAGGCAAGAGGCAGCAGAGCTAGGGTGGTATCCAATGGTCAACACTGGCTCTTAGCTCTCCTCAGCACCTGCAGAACAGGCATCAGGACTGGAGCCTAGATTTTCTCACTGAATCCTGCATTTTCTCCTCCATACCCCATTGCTTTCTGGTGCCCTAGTATATTTTGCTTCCCACAGTGTTTACTTATTTATGTTTATAGCACATAGAATTTACTTGCTCTGGGCCAGGGATTTAGCTCACTGGTGCCGCCACCTGCCTCCAAAGCGCAAGGTCCTGAGTTGGATCCCCGGTACCAAAAACAAAATTTGCATATTCTAGCACACCTTGAATCATAGTGAGGGATGTGAAAGGAGAACAACACAACAAAAAGGTGTCAGCCAGCTATTTGTTAGTGAGCGATGACAGCTTTGTTTGGTTTTTCACACCGGTGAGGCTCATCAGAAGTGTGGAGAATCAATCTAAGAGTCTGGATTTTTTTTTTTATCTGAAAAGGAGACGCTGATGGGCTTATAACTGGGGGTGATTAATAGACGTTTAATGTAATCTTGTGGCAAACTATAGGAGGGGCTCCGGGAGGAGGATGGTGAAGGATGGGAAGGCCATGAACTTGAGCTTCAGACTCTGAGAGCGGTGGGGACAGATTTTAGAGGAGATAATGAATGATATGAAGCTCAAGTTCCTGGAGCCTCACTTAGCTTCTCCTTTCCCCTGTATTCTTGGTACCTTCCTTCCTCCTTCCCTGCCTCCCTCCCCGTTCCTCAGCCAGTGCCCAACCCCTGGCCCGTTCCACTCCCCCTCCTGATAATTACCGTCCTCTCCTGCCTGGCCTTCCAGTCCTTCACCGTCCTCCTCCCGGACTTATGACTGCCTCGATGAGAGTTCAGTTCCTGGCCGCTGCCTTGGAGCATTTCTGTACATTCCCATCTGTGGAACGCTGTGTTTGAGTGCCAAAGCCCCACCTCCCTGCACCTCAGGTCCCTGTGCATGGTTCTGAGTGTGTTTCCACATTCAAGTGATCAGCTAAGATCCTCCTCTGCTTTAGCGGAGCCCTTCAATTCGTAATGCATTAGCTGCTGCTACCACTGCCACTGTGTTTATCGTCACCCCAAACTTTGTGTTTGAAAAGAGCATTTATCTCTACTTTTGAGGGCAGCTTTCCTCTCGGGCTTGCTCACCTGATGCCCGTGGCCTGCCTTGTATTTTCGGTAACTTTGGTCCTGTGTGTGTCCTGCCTGCCCAAGCAGATTGTAACCTCTCAAGGGCAGAGGCCACTTGTACTTTGCATCTCACAGTGGACCCATGATGTATTTTTCTTGAAGCATTGACTGAGACTGAACAACTGATCACAATCCAGAGCATTCAGGTTCTCTTGAAAAATAAGTATTTTCCCTTTGGTTTTTTGTTGTTGCTGTTGTTGTTGTTTGTTTTTTGAGACAGGGTCTCTATGTTTTCCAGGCTGGCCTTGAACTCACTATGTAGACAGGCTAGACTTGAACTCATGGTGATCCTCCTGCCTCTGCCTCCCAAGTGCTGGGGTTACATGAATGTGCCACCATATTCAGCATAAGTCTCTTAACCTATGTTTCAGTTATTATATCCATAAATTGAGGATAATAACACCTACCTTAAAGAGTGGTGGTGAAGCCAGAGATTTAGCTCAGTGGTTCCGCTGCCTGCCTCACAAGCACAAGGACCCAAGTTCCATCCCCAATACCCGCCCCCAAAAAATAGAGTGGTGGTGAGAGTCAAATGAGTTAATATATTTGAAGCAGTACAGTATATATAAGTGCTTATTAGTATGATTACTATCATAACAAGAACAATGTCTGATAGGTAACTGGTGAACATTAGTTGAATCTTGATTATATGTTCTTTATGAAACTTTGTCTACTTATGAATGTTTGCCTTTAATAATGTATCTAAGAAGGCCAGGGATTTAGCTCAGTGGCACTGCACCTGCCTGGCAAGCTCAAGGTCCTGAGTTTAACCCCCGCCCCTGCCCAATGTACCTAAGATATGGTACATTTGAAAATCCTACGCGGCCCTGGTGTGTCCAGAATGATGGTAACAGGTGACTGATCGCATGGGGATTTAGCCCGGCATTATTGAACCCTTCTGGACATTGTCCCTGGGTTTGTAGTTCGTGCTGCTGTAACAAACTACACCAGGCCTCTGGCCGACACAGCAGACATCTGTTCTCTCATGGCTCTGGCAGGCAGAAGTCCGAGATCCAAGGGACAGCGTGTTGGTTCTCTCTGGGGTCTCCGCCCTTGGAGATTCTTGTGGATGGCCACCTGCCTGCTGTGCCCCACCTGGTCTTTCCTCTGTGTCCAGCCCTCCTAGTACCTCATTTGTGTCCTGATTTCCTCATGTAAGGACACCAGTCAGAGAGGGGGAGGGCCTCCCTGATAGCCTGGTTTTATTTTCTTCCAGTACTGGGGATAGAACTCAGGCCCTTCACATCCTCACTACTTTCTACATATTTCTTATTCCAAGACAGAGCCTCTCTAAATCGCTGAATTACCCAAGCTGGGTTCACACTTTCAGCCCTCCTGCCTCAGCCTTCCAGAGTGCTGGGATTGCAGATGTGTGCTATTATACCCAGCTAGCAGCCCCGTTTGACCTCAATCACCTCTTTAAAGGCTCCTGTCTCCAAATACAGTCACGTTCTGAAGTATTAAGGGTTATCATGTTGACTTTATAGGGGAAGCACAATCTACCCATAACATTCCTCTAGTGCTATCAGAATTCATAAGAAACCTCCCCTGAGCTTTAAAAAGGTGAAAGATTTATGAGATCTAAAGAGAAACCAGAGTATACCCTGAGCTTTAAAATCCTGCATATAGAAATCCAGTCGTGGGTGGGAAGGTTTAGTGAGTCTCTGTGTACGTAAGTGTCTAATACGTGCTCAGCAAATAAATTGGCTCTACCATATCTCTCATGACACATTTGTTTTTCCTCACTTTATCATCAACAAATGTTAAAATCCTAATGCTCCTCTTTAAAATAGCCTGTTTCCGCAGAGTGATTCCTGCTGAAAAACTGGAGATGTGAGCAGATTATAAATCAGAAATGCCCATCTTAGCTTTTATTACCTTGCACCTGAGTGTCATTTATCCATGAACAGCCAGGCGCTCTCCCACACAGGCTGGCTTCTGACTCCAGCATCCTAGCTCTCTGTGATCTGGAAGGGAAGCGGGCACCAGGGAATGACTCTGCTCTTCCCGTTTGGAAAGGAGCATGTGGGCATTTCAGGCAGAAATGACTGAGAAAGGGTTTGTTGATGTAGCTGAGGACTGAGAACAATAGAGACATTCTGGAGTTACACGCAAAGGCCGCCTCTATACATCTGGCCCCTGACCTTGGCCTTCCTCTTTTATTTTTTTTTCCGGCACTGGAGATTGAACCCAGGACCTTCACACTGAGCTACAGTCCAGTCCATTTATTTATCTATTTTACAATTTTGACACATGATCTTGCTAAGTCACCAAATTGCCTAGGCTGGGCTTGAACTTGTGAACTTGAGATCCTCCTGCCCCAGCCTCCCAGAGTGCTGGGGTTACAAGCATAGGCTACCACGCCCAGCCCTTTGTCTTCTTTTTTGCAAGCACAGTTTTACAACCAAGGAAGTTGTGCAATGAACCCAAAACATTTAGCAAAGGATGTCAGAGTTGGACACGCTAGAACTTGGCCTTGAAACATCGGAGGTTCAGGGACCTGGAAATGAATTTCTCTGTGTCCAGCTGCTGCATCGATGATCTCATCTGTTGTCCCGGTGACCTAGCAGTGAATCGGTGGGTGGCTCTCAAATCAAGGTGGGCTTTGGACACCTTCTAATCACACAGACCGGGGCCTTGGGACCAGTGATGCTTGAATGAAATTGGGCCTATGGCTGCCAGATTAATGGAAAACGTAGCTCAAATAGGAAAATCCCAGTAAAAGTACATATCCAGACCCACCTTAATTGAGCCAGGCGTTGTAGGCAGACCCCTGTAATCCCAGCACTTGGGCCTGTAATCCTAGCACTCGGGAGGCTGAGACAGGAGGATCGCAAGTTTGAGGCCAGCTTGGGCTACATATTGAATTCAGGGCCAGCCTAAACTACCAAGTGAGACCCTGTCTCAAAATATACAAGCGAACAAACACTAGACCTACCTTAATTAATTTTGTTTAAAACACATAAATGTACATTTAATAGCAAATAATTTTACAAATACACTCAAAAAATACAAAGGTTGATTTGAATACAAATATTTTTAAATCTTTGTTGCTTGTATCATACCAATAACATGGAATTGATATTGTCTGATTTTCAATTTTGGGTTCTTTAAACTGGAACAAGGATTTGAAGACTTAGGTAGACTAGCCTAAAGACAGAATCCTTATAAATATTAATGAAGATGACCTGATCTTTTCCACTTGTTTCATCCATGCCTGGTCCTACAGCAGTTTTGGTTAGGAAATTGCCTCAAGTCTTTCCAAAGCTATCAATTTAATTTATATATTTTTTTTAAAAAATCAGTTTCTCACAGTGCTTGTATTTGTTGCCTGTTATTATATTTAAATTAATTATAATAGCCTGTATAAATAGCATATATTGGTTTGAGGGAAAACAACTTTGTCTTTTTAATAAAGGCTCTTAGATTTTAGCATGCATAGAATATCCGAGAGCTGGTTCCCGAGCTCCATACCCAGAGTTTCCGACCCCCCTGAACCGGGCAGCACCTGAGAATTGGTGTCACTGAGAAGTTTTTGAATGATGGTTGCTGCAGCCACTTCCCAGACTGCACTCTCAGAACCAGAGCTTTCTAAACCCGCCTGGGGCAGGGGAGCAGCACACAGGGTCCTCAGGCACAGGTGTTCGTCACAGCCATGCGCATACAGCCAGGCATGAGCAGGCACAGGGTCTAGCATGCTCCAGGCTTCGGGCCCCAGATCATGTGTGAAGAAAATGTTGATGGATCAAGAGTTGGCTAAATGGAGGTCAGTTAAGGGGCTGCTTCTCTGTACAATTTTTTTTTTTTAACACTTGGGCCAATGTTGGCTGTTCTATTCTATGGAAGAAGAGGATTCTGGGAAATTTGGAGTGTGTAGCTTAGATCAGAGTCTTTTTGTTTTTCTTTTAAGAGTAGGAAAAATTTGTTGAGAGAAAGAAAGCTTCTAAAGAGAGACAGAAGGGGGACCGGAAAGTGGGTTTCCCTGATCAGAGTCTTAAACAAATGATGGGGCAGTATAATCATGGACTGTCCCTATGAAGGTCAGAAATTTCTGGACTCAAAGATTACATCTTTTGGGATGAGAGAGCTCAAGAATGAAGTACAGACTGAATTTCTGTCTTTTTGGAATAGTGACCTGACCACTCATCATTGTAGCATTGTCAATGTGCTGGAACTGAGAAGCCAGATTAGCAGCTCCTCCCGTGGAGGGGACACTGAGATGTGGGTGACAGAGACTGGACTGGCTGACTGACAGTGACACCCACAGCAGGGGCTGGGAAGCTTCCAAGATGGCGGGCCAGGCCCAGTGGAAGAAGTTGAGGGTGGCAACTGCCAGTGGCTAACGTAAGCCCATGTGAGTGAGCCCCACTGCAGGGCCACCTCCTCCGACACACAGACTGGGGTATGTGCCCGGGCATGGTGCTCCTTAATCTCAGTGTCCCCAACATCACCAGTAATTTGTTTAACAACCATTGTTTCTTGAAAGATGAGAAATTAACTTTTAGGAGGCTTTGATGCTAGCTAGATATTTATATTATGACTCAACCCAGCGTCTGGCTAATGTCCCATGATGTTCAGACCCTGAGACAATGTCATCTTGTCCCCACCATAATGACAGATATCAGGTACTATTAGAACTGTTTAGAGAGGTGATGTTACAAAAAATAGCATGTTAGACAGAAAATAAAGCCCGGGAGCAAAAGAAAAAATACAACACAGGCAATTACCCTTTAAAAATCTTCAGCTTTTTACTTTGCTTCTATTAGTTATTGTGTTAAATGTGTCGCTGTCTTCTCTACTGCATAATTTTGCTTTTAAAAAATCATACATGTGGGTGGGGGATTTAGCTCAGTGGTTCCACCGCCTGCTTTGCAAGCACAAGGTCCCGAGTTCGGTCCCCGGTAACAACAACAACAAAAAAATCATACATGTGTATTAATTTGTTCTCGTTCTTATTTACAAATGTTTGACATTAATATATACTAATACATTGCAGAGGGAAACATTTTCTTAAAGTTTGTACATAATTTTACCACCTTAACACAACAAGCTTTCTTATTTCTAATTTCCTGGCTCTGCCTCAGAAAAGGATATAATCACTGTGAAAATACAATTTTGGGGTCTACTTTTTTTTCACCAGATTTGGTTTGTCTTCCTGTTTACAATTGGGTCATCATAATTATAATGGTAAGTTTTTCTTAGATGAGAAACCCAAAGTATAAATAATGTAAAGTGCAAAATAAAAGATAGATGATAGGAAAGAAGAAGGTAGACCTTTTGCAGATGGGAAGGGGATCTAGGGGTAGAGGGAGACCAGAACTGGGTGGGGGCATAAGGACTAAAATACAACACACACCCACCCACCCACACACACACACACACGCGCGCGCGCGCGCATAGTCCCAGAGTCAGCTCTAATTCCTCTCTTTCTCTTGTTTCACTTCTAATCCAATAGGAAGCCTCTCCACCTTCTTCACATCTGCCTAGTGATTTTGTTTCCTAGGGCTGCTGTGACAAAGCACCACACACAATGGCAGTGTTGCAGAGTACTGGTGGCTGGACCTCTTAAATCAGGGTGCTGCTTCTGGTTCCATATGAATTTTAGGACTGTTTTTTCTAGTTCTGTGAGGAATGCTGTTGGTTTTTTTTTTGTACTGGGGATTGAACTGAGGACCTTGCACTTGCGAGGCAGGTGACGGAACCACTGAGCTAAATCCCCCGCCCCTGCTGTTGGTATTTTAATTGGGATTGTATTAAATCTCTGTATCGGTTTTGAAGGATGACCATTTTGACAATATTGGTTCTGGCTTTCTGGGAACAGAGGCTGTCTTCCCACTTTCTGAGTCCTCTTTGATCTCCTTTTTCAGAGAACTGTAGTTTTTTTGTGGTTTTTTTTGGTACCGGGGATCGAACTCAGGACCTTGTGCTTGCGAGGCAGGCGGCAGAACCACTGAGCTAAATTCCTGGGCCAAGAAGTGTAGTTTTTGTGGTAGAGGTCTTTCACTTTCTTGACTAGATTAATTCCTAAGTATTTAATTTTTCTTGATGGAGTTGTGAATAGTATTGTTTCCTCATGTCTTTCTTGGTGGGTTCATTATTGATGTACAGGAATGCTATTGATTTTTGTGGGTTGATTTTGTATCCTACTACATTGCTGAATTTGGTTATGAATTCTACCAGTCTTTGGTGGAAGTTTTTGGATCTTCTATGAACAAGATCATGTCATCTGCAAATAATGATAATTTGACCTTTTCCTTTCCTATACATACCCCTTTTCCTTCTTTCTCTTACCGGATTGCTCTGGCTAATGTTTCAAGGATTGTGCTGAACAGGACGGATGATAGTGGCCATCCTTTGACTTGTTCCTGATTTTAGAGGGAAAGCGTTCAGCTTCTCCTCATTTAACATAATGTTGACCTGAATTTCTAACTGAACTCTGAATGCGTCATGTTTCCTGCAGCTGTGGACTACTGCGGCTTGGAAGACCATGGATGTGAACATGAGTGTGTCAATGCAGACGGCTCCTACTCGTGCAAATGCCATGAAGGATTTGCTCTTAACCCAGATAAAAAAACATGCACAAGTAAGTTTCATACACGCACGCACACACATTTACACTGTTGCTGTGGGAACTGTGGCAGTGGAAATCTCCCAGGCGTGGATTAGCGTAGGGTTACATCCAGGAGGTCCACTCCCTTCTGACTCGAGTCCTCCTGGGCCAGGCCTTTCTACGTGGTCTAAGGCTTCAGCCTCCTCCCACTCCATCTCTCCAGTCGAGGTGTCTGGTGAAGGTATCTTTTGATGGAAACCGCACTTGGGCATCCTAATCCAGCTCAGAGCGTGCCAATAACCAGACCACCTTCCTTTACCTCCCTCAGCCCAGCCCGCTCATCAGTATTAGCAGAGCTTGAGGAATATTTTCAGCAAAGCTCTGTGGCTTGTGGGCTCCAGTTCTGACTCCACACAGTGCTAGAAAATTGCTGAGCCAGAAAGAACTGAACGTGGTTTTTCTGGGCAGGGTAGAGATAGGTGGATGGTCTTTTCCAGAGAACCACTCAGTTTTTACTGCAGCTATTTTGTTCTGTTTGACTTATGTTCCCCAAATCAGAACACAAAATCTACAAAGTAGAGGTGGTCGTTAGTTTTGCAAAAGGATTCTAACAGTGTTTTTTAAATGTGGAGTGTGTGGTATCACGTTAGGAGTTGTGTGTGGATCATTATCCCAGTGTGTACAGGGTCACTTGGGAGAGGTTCTTAGTTGTGAGGGCCCAGTATTTTTATTTGTTTTTAAAATATTTTTTTAATTTTTATTTTTAAATTTTTTTTGTACCGGGGCTCAAACTTGGGTCCTTGCACTTGAGAGGCAGGTGGCGGAACCACTGTGCTAAATCCCTGGTCCAGGGCCCAGTATTTTTTTTTTTGGTACCGGGGATCGAACTCAGGTCCTTGGCTTGCAAGGCAGGCACCGGAACCACTGAGCTAAATCCTCAGCCCTAGGGCCCAGTATTTTTAAGAGGCAGAGTTTAATAAGATATGGCATCTCTGAAAAATGCAACAATGAGCAGATAGGATTTTAATTTATAAAATGCTCATCTACCTTCCACCTTTCTAAAATGCATTCATTACATAAAACAGGTTACACTGCATACTATATTTTTTTCAAAAAGCATCCCCTACGCCACCTGCCTCACAAGTGCAAGGAACTGAGTTTGATCCCTGGTACCAAAAAAAAAAAAAAGCATCCCCTAAAACTTCCTTAAACATAAACATATCTCCTATACTTTAATCCCTTAACATCTATAGCCTATAAACACCAGGGCTGGAGGCAGGGGATATATTGGAGCAGGAATGAGTACAGTAAGTTAAAAACAAACACACGTACAATTTGTGGCCAGGCATGGGAGTACATGCCTGTAATCCCAGCACTTGGGAAGCTGAGGCAGGAGGATTGCTGGGTGTTCACTGACAGCCTGGGCTACATTATGAGTTCAAGGCCAGCCTGAACTACATATGAAGACTGTCTCAAAAAGCAAAACAAAACAAAAAACCTACATTTTTGAACTCCCAACCCTGAACCAACAGGAATGAATGAAGCAAAATCTTTCTTGGAGGGGAAAATGCTGGCTCGGTCTTGAAGGTGGAGCTGTCAGGCACCAGGCAAAGGACAGTGAGATGGGGATCCCAGAGGAGGAAAGATGTGCCAAGCTATGGGCCAGATGCAGGCCCACTAGCAAGACCTAAGACCTCGGGCAGGCATGGGTGGAGGTAGAGCTGGAGGCAGCCTGCCTGCTGTTGTGATGGTCAAAGATTTTTAAGTTTCAAAAAAATAAAATAAAAGTTACTCGGTTCCTTGCATTTTAATCTCTATTTCTAACCAAAAGTATAGTTGAAAGCTGGTTAATCCAGTTAGCATGTATGCAATTATTGTCTAACTAAGGTGTTCTAGTCAATGTGATATGCCAAGCGTGAGTAATTTATGATTAGGCCAAAATGTACATAATTAGAGCTTTCAGTTCCCAAATAAGTGATGTAATTTAAACTAGCTAAATGGTATCAAAAAACACAGCAGCTTCTATATCAGTTCCTTATGCTCAAGCAGCCTGTCCAAATCCACGTGAACATTATGTAGGAGAAAGAATGGAAAAATCAGGTACCATCAGTTTGCAAAATATTGGTAAGATTTTTCATGGTAAAATATGCATTTCATCAAATTTACCATTGTAACCTGTGTGTGTGTGTGTGTGTGTGTGTGTGTGTGTGTGTGTGTGTACCTAGGGTATCTCACATGCTAAACATGCCATCCCTGAGCTACATCCCCCAATTTTTTATTTTGTGGCAGGGGCTCACTAAGTTTCCCAAGCTGCCCTCAAACTTGGGGTCCTTCTGCCTCAGGCTCATGAGTATCTGGGTTTACAGGAATGTGCCACTGTCCCCAGCCGCGTAACCATTGTGAAGTGTACAGTTCAGTGGCATTAAACACATTCACATTGTTATGTAACTGTCGCAAGCATCCACCTCCAGAACTTTTTCATCACCTCAAATGGAAGCTCTGTCCTCATTAAACAATAACTCTGGTTCCCTGATCTGCACCCACAGCCAGTCTCTGCCAACCTTTGTTCCACTGCGTTTCTCTGAATTTGACTTTCCAGGTACTTTGTATGCAGTGTCTGTGTTTTTGTGACTGGCTTATTTCATCCAGCATAATGTCTTCAGGGTTCATCCATTATTGCATGGTCAGAATTCCCTCTTTGAGTCTGAATAATATTCCATTTTGTATGTATACCATGTTTTGTTTATCCATGGACACTTCCACCTTTAGGCTATTGTGAAGTAGGGTACACAAGTATCTATCCACGTCCCTGTTTTTAATTGTTTTGGGCATATACCTAGAAGTAGAAATGCCAGATCCACCAGGCATGGTAGCACATGCCTGTAACCCCAGCACTTGGGAGGCTGAGGCAGGAGGACTGCCGCAAATTCAAGGCCAGCCTGAATTACATAGCAAGACCCTGACAAAGATGACACCGAGAGGGATAAAAAGTAGTTGTCAGGCTTCCTGGCCAGGACATAGCTAACCTGCTGCCTTCCTGTGGACTGCAGTGCCCCTGCTGTTGTTGACAGTAGTCAGTTGGAAGGAGCCTTCATGTTCAACCTGATCTTGCCCGCCTGCCCATCCTTCAGTGCCCTTGCTGTGCCACATCCTGCATGCACTTGAACAGGCCCACTGACAGGACACTCACTCTGCTCCCGCTCGTCCCCTCCTAGAAAGTGAGTCCTTACACTGAGCTGGTATCTGCCTCCTTGTGCCTAGAGCCCAAGGAAACAAATCCCGCTTCTCTGCTACTTTGTGGCCGCTCAGAATGAGTCAGATCAGAATGATGTCTCGTGGAGACCAGCCAGGCGTGGAAAATTGCAGCCACGGCCTAGGCCCCAGCACACGCCTCCCAGTCTGCTGGAGCGAGCCCATGCCTGGGGGCCGCATGAGAGATGGGCACTGGCGGGAGGGCGATTGCCTGACTGGCCTTGGAACCCACTGGACGCCTGACTCCCAGGATGCTGACTCCCAAACTGCATCCTCCTAGAAAGAGTTTGCTGTGTTTGGTTGTTTTTGTTTTGTTTTGTTGGGTTTTGCTACTGGGGATTGAACATAAGACCTTCACATCGAGTTACATCTGTAGCCCTTTTTAAACATTTTCAGTTTTGAGGTAGGGTCTTGCTAAGTCACCAAATGCTTAATTCTGCAACCCTCCTGGCTCAGCCTCCTAGAGGGCTGGGATTACAGGTGTTCACTACCTCTAAGGAGGTTTTCAAACAGCCAGGCAAGAAGAAGCCTCAAGGAGGGCAAGAGAGCTGTCTTCCCTTGCTAGTGACCTTGTCCATGCATCGAAAGCCCAACAAAGCACTCTGCTAGGAGTAGTGCCAGTGACCATTTATTATGCAACAAATACTTTCGGAGTATCTGCTCTGTGCCAGGTACAGTTGTAGATACAGCACTTATAGCAGGAAGTAAACAAAACAACTCTGTCCTTATGGTGCTTATGTTGGGTTAGAGTAGGGTAAGAAAAGCTACCATCTAAGCATCCTAGTGATGATTAATAACAAATTTAAAATAAGTAGTTCTGGGGTGGGGATTTAGCTCAGTGGTTCCTCTGCCTGCCTCATGGGCGGAAGAACCTGAGTTCGATCCCCAGTACCAAAAAAATAAATAAATAAAATAAAGTAAGTAGTTCTACCTTTCCCACTGTTTGCAGTACAGGTAACTTAACAGTGACTCAGCATAAGCATGAAAGATTCATATATATGTTAGACTCTTCTTGGGTTTGAGTTTGTTTTTTTGAGGTGGGGTCTTCCTCTGTAGTTCAAGCTGGCCCTGAATTCACTATGTAGCCCTGGCTGGCCCCGAACTTGTGGCCATCCTCCTCCTTCAGTCTCCTGAGTGCTGGGAATACAGGTGTGCACCACCATGTCCAGCTCTGGATTTGGCTTTTTTGAGACAAATTCCCACTGTGTATTCCAGGCTGGCCTCAAATTCAGCAGTGTTCCTCCTGCCTCCCAAGTGCTGGAATCACAGGCGTGTGCTACCATACCCTGCTTTATTTTATATTAAACTTCAGAGAAGTATAACTGAAGAGTGAATACTATACTGAGCTACATGAAAATATGAAATTGCTATATGGATACAAGAGAAAGAAAATAGATTAAAAAGAGTTGTATGTTAAAATTTAAAAAAAGAAAAACTACCATCTTGAAAAGAAAGTGACATTTGGTCAAAGTCTTGCACGAGAGGAAAGAGGAAGGAAGTGTTGGAGGTGGAGGGAATGTAGCACTGTGCAAAGGCCCTGAGGCAGGAGCTGTGAGGCACAGCAACATTGAGAGGCAGCGAGAAAGCCTGTACCACTAGGACACAGTGAGAGGCTGTCATGTCCGGAGCATTTAACCTGCTGTCTCCAATCTGCCCAAGTTGCAGCGATGCCTGTGAGCTCATACTCTCCTGACCTGAGGGCTCACACTATTTGTTGACTGGATCTTATGTTTTGGACAGAGGTATCTGTAACTGTATATATTATTCTCAGCAATGTCCCC